AGGTTTCCTGTCTTATTACCAATGCTAATATTTCCACACCTACCACTCCTCTGCATATCATACCTAAAACAATCAAGCCTGCTATCGCCATTCACCTGCTATTGCCATTCCGCATCTGAAACCACCTTTATAAAGTTTATATCTCTGGTGCCTGCTATTACATTTTATGGCACGCATGGCCTGGCCCAACAAAGGGACATTTAGAAGAAGAGATTGGATTTATACCCCACCCTTCACTTGGAGTCTCAGAGCAGCTTACAAACTCCTTTCTTTCCCCCTCCCCACAACAGACACCCTGTGAGGTGGGTGGGGCTGAGAGAGCTCTGACAGAAACTGCTCTTTTTCAAGGACAGCTGTGCCAGAGCTTGTGACTGACCCAAGGTCACATCAGCAGGTGCAAGAGGAGGAGTGGGGAATCAAACCCGGTTCTCCCAGATCAGAGTCCGCACACTTAACCACGACACCAAACTGGGTATGTCAGATCTGGCCCTCATAACAAATGAGTTCGGTACCTCTGGTTTAACATTTTGGGATTACACTGGACCCACCATTGCTGCTGGAGAAGTAAGTTAATGCAGCTGCAAAAATGCTTTCTTCCAACTCTGTTCAGCCCAGAAGATGATCCCCTACCCTGGCTTGGCTGATCTGGTGACCTGGACTAGACTACTGTAATGCACTCTACATAGTTCTCCTCCCTTTGTCGTTAATTTTGAGACTCCAGTTGGTGCAGAACGCCATGGCATACTGTTTTGCACTTACCTGTAACTGTTGTTCAGCGAGTGTTCTGTGCAGGCACCCATTGGGACTATGTGTAGGCAGGCCTGCCGCTTGGAGGATTTTTAAAGCTTATTTTCTAGCCCAGCAACAGACCAGTGGAGCCCCTCTCCTCCATAACGATCTAGCAGCCATTTTCCTGCTCAAAGGGTCATGAGCTCCAGGAGGAGGTGCTCCCTTTCCCTCAGTTCTCCTGAGCCACTGCAATGAGTCTCTACGGGAAAAGGGCACTGAAATGAGAACTCACCCGTGGCTATAAGAGTCTGGTGAAAGGCTTACAGGCATTAAAGATAAAGTTTGATGCTGACTGTGAAAAAGTTAGTGGTGTGGACTGACGAGCCATGCAGTTAGGCGGAGGCGCTCGACCCCATGGTGTAACGCATTCCCAATTTGTAGGAAGTCTGATACTGCAGGTCTGCCCTGAGACAGGTGAAGAAGAATATGGAACCAAATCTGGCGACACCAGAAAGGAGTGATTAAAATACAACTCATCCTCTCTCTGTGGATCTTGGCCTACACCCTATCAACAGGAATAATAGTGTGCTCACCCAAGGCATCCGGAACATATCCCCTGATGACTGGGGGTTGATCCCTGCCCAGGAACAAAAGAGTGGAGCCTTAAGATTAAGGCTTGTGAAGAAAAAAAAATCTACCGTGGGGAAACCCCACTCAGCAAAAATAGGGGAAATACATTTCAGACTAATTGGCCACTCATGAGTAGGGGAACCATACATACCTACAACCACCTTTATTGGCATTATGCACGAAGAAGTATACAAAAAATAAGGAGTACTCAATACAGTTAACACATATCTCACTTTTTAGAAGCCATATACAAAAAAGTTGCCACTGTTTCAACAGTTACAGCATTTTTCGAGGAAAGAAGAAAAAGACTATTAAATCCATTAACAACCGAACGAAATACTTAACCCGAATGTCAGCATAATAATCACAATACAAAAGGACATGCTCAATACTTTCTACTTCCTTTCTTCCACAATCACATAACCCCTGTGCGTAAGGAATCTTTGTAAATTTCCCTTGAAGTACTGCAGAGGGCAACACATTAAAACGTGCTAAGTAGGGGAACCAATTCAGCACAGTAAATCTGCCCTGGTATTGTCTAACCCTGCTATGTGAATTGCGTGCAAAGACACTTGATGCCATTGCTATGTGAATTGTGTGCAAAGACACTTGATGCCATTTGGAATGTCCTGGGACTGAAGTGTTCTCCCACTGGTTTCCGGATATTGCCATTTTTTATGTCAGATTTGTGTCCATTTATTCTTTTGCGTAGAGGTTAGCTGGTTTGTCCTATGTACAGGGCAGAGGGGCATTGTTGGCACATGAGAGCTTATATCACATTGGAGGATGAACAGCTGTAAGAGCCAGAGATTGTGTAGGTGATGCCATTACGTCCTGTAATCGTATTCTCTGGGTAGATATGTGGGCAGAGTTGGCATCTGGGTGTGTTGCAGGGTCTGGTTCCTGTGTTGGTGACACTGTTAGATGGTTCATGGTTGTTAGTGAGAAGTCGTTTGAGGTTGGGAGGGCTGTCTGTAGTCAAGGAGAGGTCTTCCACCCAGGGCTTGTGTGAGATAGACATCATTTTCTAGGATGGGCTGTAGATCACTGATGATACGTTGGACTATATATCTCTGGCCAGTTTCTGCATACTCTCCATGCATCTGATGAAGAGAACTGTGTTTCTCGAAAGCTTATGCTATAATAAAGTTTGTTAGTATTAAAGGTGCTAGTGGGCTTTTTATTATTCTGCAAAAATTTTTTATATTTTCCCAATTTGGGTATTCCCAAATATTCCCGAATCCCAGTATCAGTATTGTATTGGGATTAGGGTAAATATTCAGGAAATCTGAATTTTTTTGTTTCCATTATACCCTATGGGGATCATCTTGAGTTCACTTGCCAAGTTGCACTGCTGCAGCACCACAACTCAGCGAGTACAGAAAGCATTTAAAAGGGATCAATGGATTGGCTTCCAGGCCTGTCAGCCGAACAGCAGGCAGGCTCACCTGCCCCTCTGTTAGGTTTAAATGGCTAAATTTTCTCAGTTCATGCCCAGGCGTGTAGCTACCGTGGGGCCCGCTCCCTATGGTTTTTGTGGGCCCATGGACTTCATCATGGATTTGCCACCCAGCAGGGGTAAAACAGCTATTTGGGCGGTGGTGGACTTGTTTTCCAAACAAGCTCATTTTAACCCATTTAAGACGCTACCGACGGCTCACCTTCTGGCTAAGGCGTTCCTTCAACATGTCTTCCGGTTACACACATTGCCCCGGAAGATAATCTCCGATAGGGTGGCACAATTTGTTTCCAAGTCTTGGGGGGAACTGATGGGACTTCTGGGGGTGGAACAGGGCTTGAGTAGTGCACCTATCACCCCGAAACGGACGGGAAAACGGAACGTGTCAAACACTCAAACAATACCTCAGGTATTTCATGAACTTCCAACAGGATGATTGGGAGGGGCTTCTCCTCCTTGCCGAGTTTTGTTATAACAATGCCTGTCATGGCGGTGTATGGCTACGAGGCTCCACCTCTCCCATTCCTCTCAAAGGTTGCTTTACCAGAGGCGGAGGTGGGGGACTGGTGTAAACGCCTCAAGGATGCCTGGCTGGTGTTATGTAAAACCTTGGACAAAGCCAAGCAGGCTTACAAAGTTCAGGCAGACAAGAAGCACTCAAGACAGCTGGAACGTTTAGCCTGGGGACTCAGTCTATCTGTCCACCAAGAACATCAAGGGTCTTTGACCCAGCCGCAAAATGGGGTGGAAATTTCTAGGGCTGTTCCAAGTTAAGTGGAAAATCAATGAAGTGGCTGTAGAACTTGACTTGCCTAAACATTTGCCTAAACATTTGCATTCCGTTTTCCATTTCAGCCTCCTCCGCCGTGATCCTGGGCCAAACGTGTGGCGGCCGCAACGACTCAGTCCCCCTCCCCTGATGGTGTAAGGCGAACCGCATTATGAAGTTGCTGATATAATGGACTCGAAGCTGAAACACAACAAGCTGTTTTATTTGATTGAATGGGTGGACTTTGGTCCTCAACACCGAGAATGGGTGGCGGAGGAACATGTTTCCGCTCCCCGCCTCCTTAAATGCTGCCATTGCTGCTTTCCGGAGAAACCTGGGGGGAGGGGGAGGCATTGGGAGGATCAGGATGTCAGGTAGCCCAGTCATGGGTCTGGAATGTGGAGGGGTGCCCTCCTGTTTTCTGTCTCATCTCTCTCTGGCTCACCAACTGTTTGCTATCTTATGCTTGACCTTGTAGATGCTCCAGCTGCAGTTTACTTGGCTGGGAAAGTTAACGGCTCTTTCGTTTTGCCCGCTTGCTTTGCCCGCTTGCGCGAGATGTATCCATTGGCTCATGCTTACATGGGGGGGATGTTTGATTTTAGTATAAGTCAGAGGCCCTAGTGCTGACGGCCATTCCTGACACAAGCTGTACACGTGTCTTTAGTACTGGATCTATCAATACACAGTTACCTTCTTACCTGTGTTGCGTGACCTGACTAAGGACCCTGACTACACTACAAACTGGCTTGACAGCTGTAGAGAGAAGATGAAGCACTCACCTGATTGCTCAGTAGACATTAATGTTAATTTGTGGAGCGGAGTCCTTACAGAACCAGGATTGACAGGCTGATAAGGAAACAGTAAAGACCTGCACACCTGGAGGAAGGTGCTGGTTCTGACCTTTAATCCCTTCACAGCTGAAGACCCTTAGATCTGAAACCTCCTTCTGTGTGTCCTCATGCTGCTTGTCTGGCTTAGGGTAGCTTTTCTGGCATCAAGCAGAACTTGCGCTTTCCTCACTGTAGCTTCCATCTCATGGGACAGAGTTCCTGAGGAAGTGGCCTTTTCATGAGGCGCTGCTGGACCGCTCCGTTTGCCAGGGTTTTTACAGGCAGGCATCTGGGCAAGGGAAGTGTGGTATTTGGGGTTTTATGGTATTCTGTACATTTTACACATGGATGTGTGAAGCTGCCCTGAACCACAAAGGAAAGAAGGGTTAGAAATAAGGGTAAGAAATATTTTCATAAATAAAGCCTCCAGAAGCAGACAACGTGCAAACCAAAGTACATCACGGGCTGGTTGCTCAATAAAATATATGCCATTGCATTTTCAAAGCTTGGCTTACATTCTTTCACACACTTCTTCATCTGGCAGAACAAATCAGACAGACAACGAATACCTGCTAGAAACATTTTAATGTTTCTTAAGTAAATATATATATTTGTTACAGGGATGTTTGGGATCCAAGAGTGGTACACTGGAACAAATGAACACCCACTGTAAGGAGGGAAAACACCTTTTCAAAAATACTGTGTAGTAAGAAATCCCTGATCATAAATATTAAAGCTTCATCTAGGCACAGCCAGACACTTTAGAGCATGACTCTTGACTCCCAATTGCAGCTCTACACGTAAGGACGGTAATGTTTCACTTTCCAATGCTTGGACCTCATGCGGAAAAAGCAGAAAACAACCATCAAAAACAAGGATGATGCTACATAAAGGACCACACAGAGACTCATATCGACGTTAGAGAATCCAACCCCCAAGAATGATACACCCTGTTTCATCTCCTTCTCAGCGAATGACTCCACAGCGGCCTTGCTACCTCTGGCTTTAGGGATGTCTTGCACTGTCAGTCTATCCAGGACTCCCAATTTTGAATCTAACAGTTTCTCTGGGTCTGGGATTTTGTTATCATGACTTCTGCTTTGTTTTTTAACTAAAGCGTTCTTTCTGTCTTCCCAGAGTTCTTTCTCATTAAGGTCTCCACGGCCTTCTGTGTACGCATACAAGATGTTGTCACGGTCATAGTGATGCTTCAGAAACTGCAGCACTTGGACTTTGTTCCAGGTATGCAAGCCTTTAATTTCTTCGTGGCACGTGGGACAAACATCTGGAGTTGGCCACTGAACTTTTGGATATTTTGGATCTTCACTCAAATCACCTATCAGCAGAAAAAAAGGAAACGGAAAAACGTCAACACTAGATAACATTCAATGAAGGTACAGGAAAGAATATCACAGATTTTCATTAGCCAGGTCAGATAACTAAAATCAAGATGTTCAATACAAACAGGAAATTATGCTAACTTTAAGGCTATTTTGGATTGTAATATAATCAAATACAGTACAATGCAATCAAAAGAACAATTTTTTTTTTTACTTGCCCAGATTGGGCAAAGTTTATTATTTTTTAACAAGTTACATAGAAAAGACCCATACATTTTAAAATAGCAAGCCAAATATCTCGCTCACATCATCATAGTTGCATACAGATTCCCATTCCCCCATTTTATTTTATATTCAATAACTTACACTATTAAACCAAGTATCTATTCCCTTTGTAAAACTAATTCATCAATATTCTATCTACTATATTTCATTTTATCAGTATTATACTATTATTATTCTATTTTATGTCAATATAAAAGTAGCAGAAAAGAAACAGTCATAATTTAGCAGTTTAACTATGCTAAAGAAGGCATATATTTCTTCTAAATTAACAATCTAGTCCCTTTAAATATTCTTTCACATCTTTAACACTGTTAGTTTTCAAAATCCCATTAACTAGCAGGCCTAAACATAATATGTTATATTTCCCCTACAATCCAGCTCTCACACTGACAGAGCCATATAGCTTTCACCTTGTCCTGCAACATCTGGTCTTCTCTCTCAAAATAGTTAACACCATACACATTCTCTAAATAAGTAACCCATTAATTATATTTTCCCTGCAATTCCTCTCTAAAAATTCAGACTGCCCATATCTTTTCATCCCCCTTCAATTAGGACATTACATGTACAGGGAGTAAATTGTTTCAGATTAAAAGTCCATGTTTTATAGCTTTCATTAGTCAGTCAAGAGAATGCAAAAGTTGGAGGTACTTTGCTTCAGGTTATATTCATAAATCAATTGGGTATCAAATAACAATGTAAATCAGGTGTAGAAACACATAATAGATAAACAGTTCTCAACAGCTTAAAAGTTCCAATTTTAGTAGATCATTATCCCTTCAGCCAATTAAAACCATGCAGACTGTCAAAGAGTGCTACTTCCCCTTATCCTCTCTAAAATGTCAGACTTTATCTTTAGCTTTCATTAAACAGTTGAGATAATGTAAGAATTAAAATACTTTGCTTCAGATTATATTCCTAAATCAATCGGATATCAAATAGTTGTGTAACTATTTGGAACGCAGTAATTTGGCGCACAGTAAATAAACAGATCTCATCAGCTTAAAAGTTCCTCCCAAGGAGCAGGCATCTTTTAATTTCATGGCTGCAGTCACAGTCTGCGGTGATCTGGGATCCCAGGAACGTGAAGTCTGTCACTACTTCCACGACTTCTCCTTCTATTTGCCAAGGAGTGATGGGGCCGGATGCCATGATCTTAGTTTTTTTGATGTTGAGCTTCAAGCCCACTTTTGCGCTCTCCTCTTTTACCCTGACCAAGAGGCTCTTTAGGTCCTCTTCACTTTCTGCCATTAGAGTGGTATCGTCTGCATATCTGAGATTGTTGATCTTTTCCCCAGCAATCTTAATTCCCGCTTGTGATTCATCCAGGCAAGCATTTCGCATGATGTACTCTGCATATATATTAAATAAGCAAGGTGACAATATACATCCTTGTCGTACTCCTTTTCCTATGCTAAACCAATCAGTTGTTCCATATCCAGTTCTAACTGTCAAGAGTCTTCTCCAGCACCATAGTTCAAAAGAATCTATTCTTCGGCGCTCGGCCTTCCTTATAGTCCAGCTCTCGCAGCCATACATGACTACTGGGAATACCATTGCTTTGACCATGCGGACTTTTGTTGGCAGGGTGATGTCTCTACTTTTTATCATGCTGTTTAGGTTCGCCATCGCTTTCCTCCCAAGGAGCAGGCGTCTTTTAATTTCATGGCTGCAGTCACAGTCTGCGGTGATCTGGGATCCCAGGAACGTGAAGTCTGTCACTACTTCCACAGCTTCCCCTTCTATTTGCCAAGGAGTGATGGGGCCGGATGCCATGATCTTAGTTTTTTTGATGTTGAGCTTCAAGCCCACTTTTGCGCTCTCCTCTTTTACTCTGAGCAAGAGGCTCTTTAGATCCTTTTCACTTTCAGCCATTAGAGTGGTATCATCTGCATATCTGAGGTTGTTGATCTTTTCCCCAGCAATCTTAATTCCCGCTTGTGATTCATCCAGGCCAGCATTTCGCATGATGTACTCTGCATATATATTAAATAAGCAAGGTGACAGTATACATCCTTGTCGTACTCCTTTTCCTATGCTGAACCAATCAGTTGTTCCGTATCCGGTTCTAACTGTCGCTTCTTGGCCCTTATACAGGTTTCTCAAGAGACATGTGAGGTGGTCTGGTACTCCCATCTCTTTAAGGACCTGCCATAGTTTGTTGTGATCCACACAGTCAAAGGCTTTAGCATAGTCAATGAAGCAGAAGTAGATATTTTTCTGGTACTCTCTTGCTTTCTCCATAATCCAGCGAATGTTGGCAATATGATCTCTCGTTCCTCTACCTCTTCGAAACCCAGCTTGTACTTCTGGTAGTTCTCTATCCACGTACTGTTGAAGCCTAGCTTGTAGGATCTTGAGCATGACCTTGCTAGCGTGTGATATGAGTGCAATTGTGCGATAGTTTGAACATTCCTTGGCATTGCCCTTCTTTGGGATTGGAATGTATACTGATCTTTTCCAATCCTGTGGCCACTGTTGCGTTTTCCAAATTTGCTGGCAAATGGAGTGCAGAACTTTAACAGCATCCTCTTCTAAGACTTTGAATAGCTCAGCTGGGATACCATCACCTCCACTAGCTTTGTTGTTAGTAATGCTTTCTAAGGCCCATTTAACTTCACATTCCAGGATGTCTGGCTCGAGGTCAGTGATTATACCGTCGTGGTTGTCAAGGACATCGAGGTCTTTCTTGTATAGTTCTTCTGTGTATTCTTGCCATCTTTTCCTAATCTCTTCTGCTTCTGTTAGGTCCCTACCGTTTTTGTCCTTTATCATGGCCAGCTTTGCATGGAACGCTCCCTTGATTTCTCCAATTTTCTTGAAGAGATCTCTAGTCCTTCCCATTCTATTGTTTTCTTCTATTACTTTGCACTGTTCATTCAGGAAGGCCTCCTTATCTCTCCTTGCTGTTCTCTGGAAATCTGCGTTCAGTTGGGTAAATCTTTCCTTTTCGCCTTTGCCTTTCGCTTTCCTTCTTTCCTCTGCTATTTGTAAAGCCTCATCAGAAAGCCATTTTGCTTTCTTGCATTTCTTTTTCTTTGGTATGGTGGTGATTGCTGCCTCCTGTACGATGTCACGAACCTCTGTCCATAGTTCTTCAGGCACTCTATCTATCAAATCCAGACCCTTGAATCTATTCTTCACCTCTACTGTATATTCATCAGGGATGCGATCTAGGTCAAACCTGAATGGCCTCGTGGTTTTCCCGATTTTCTTCAGTTTAAGTCTGAATTTTGCAATGAGTAGCTCATGATCTGAGCCACAGTCAGCTCCAGGTCTTGTTTTTACTGACTGGATAGAGCTTCTCCATCTTTGACTGCAAATTATATAGTCAATCTGATTTCGGTGTTGCCCATCTGGTGATGTCCATGTGTAGAGTCGTCTCTTAGGTTGTTGGAAAAGGGTGTTCGCTATGACCAGTGTGTTCTCTTGACAAAACTCTGTTAACCTTTGCCCTGCTTCATTTTGCTTTCCAAGGCCAAACTTGTCTGTTATTCCGGTTACCTTTTGACTTCCTACTTTAGCATTCCAGTCCCCTATGATGATGAGGACATCATTTTTTGGTGTTAGTTCTATAAGGTGTTGTAGGTCTTCATAGAACCGGTCCACTTCAGCCTCTTCTGCATCAGTGCTTGGGGCATAGACTTGGATTACTGTGATGTTGAATGGTTTGCCTTGGAATCGGACAGAAATCATTCTGTCATTTTTGAGATTGTATCCCAGTACTGACCCCTGCACTCTTTTGTTGACTACCACACCATTTTTTCTACAAGATTCCTGGTCACAGTAGTAGATATAATGGTCTTCTGAGTTAAATTCGCCCATTCCTGTCCACTTTAGTTCACTGATTCCTAAGATATTGATGTTCAGTCTTGCCATCTCATTTTAGACCACGTCAAGCTTACCTTGATTCATAGATCTTACATTCCAGGTTCCTATGCAGTATTGTTCTTTGCAGCATTGGACTTTCCTTTCACCATCAGACACATCCACAACTGAGCATCCTTTCGGCTTCGGCCGAGCCGCTTCACTCTTTCTGGGGTTACTTGTACTTGCCCTCTGCTCTTCCTCAGTAGCATATTGGACACCTTCCGACCTGAGGGGCTCATCTTCCGGCGTCATATCTTTTAGCCTTTTGATACTGTCCATGGGGTTTTCTTGGCAAAAATACTGGAGTGGGTTGCCATTACCTTCTCCAGGGGATCACGCTTGGTCTGAGTTCTCTGCTTGGGCCGGTCCATTTTGGGTGGCCCTCCACGGCATAGCCCACAGCCTCATCGAACCATGCAAGCCCCCTCGCCACGACAAGGCAGTGATCCATGAGGGGGTCCTTGCTCCAGTATTTTCTCCAAAATCCGAGCATTCAACCCCGCGTGGTAAAACTCCACTAGCACTTCCTCCGGCCAGTCTGAGCTTAGCGGAACAGGCTTTGAAGTCATCAGAATACTCCTGGACGGCGCGATTTCTTTGTCGCACCTCCCGTAGGCGGTTCCAGGCTTTCTCCTGCTCCAGGGGATCCTCGAACTGCTGCCGTAGGGACTCTCTTGATCAGTCTCTGCCAGTTCAGACCCCATCAACGTGTATTTATATTTAGGATTTTTGGCTCCAATGTGCATCACCTTGCACTTGGCTTTTTAACCCATGATTTTTGAGCTTACTTAGGAGCCTTTGATGAGGAACTTTATCAAAAGCTTTCTGGAAGTCAAGGTAA